TCACTTCTGGCAGCAGCGACCGATTTGGCTATTTCGGACTGCAGTGCCATTTTTGCCGCTCTATAAGAGGCGTAGAGCAGCGGCTCCAAGCCTGCATCTCTGTGCCGCCTTCTTCGGCATCGGGTGAACCGGCGTCTTGCCACGACACACGCTCTACGCATTTGGGAGAGCTCCTCAGACCACCAATATACTCGGCTCTTTTGTGGGAAATTTCTGGACCGGGCCATGGACGCGTTACAAACTTCCGTCATTGTGTCCCGGAACCATTCAGCCTCTCTCTCGACGTTCAGATGAGTGGTTGTGGGCAACCACGATGCTACAATAGCCGCCTCTTTCAGAGAGTCGCGGTCCAGACTTTTGAGGTTCCACCGTGGGCCGTCCCTCCTTATCCTCTGATTTGGACCGGTCAGGGTATCTGGTAAGGCGGAGACTTCAAACCGGATATAACGGTGGTCGGATAATGTCTCCTCATCCACCACTACTTTCCAGTCACGAACACGGCGTGCCAAAATGGGGCTCGCAAACGAAACGTCCACTATGGATCCGCCACGTTGCTGCACGCACGTGTTCTCGGATCCCCGATTGAGGACGGTTAGCCCGACCTCCAGGAGCCATTCGTCCAGTAACCGACCGCGCGCATCGGATACTGGACAACCCCACGCCACAGACTTGGCGTTAAGATCCCCAGCAACCAACACGGGGTAGGGATTAAGTTGTCGGATTAATGACCCCAGTCGGTCCAGATAGTCCTCGAACTCGGCCAGAGTTCTATTGGGCGAGAAATAGACCGCTACGACAACAATCTCTCCCAGTCGGGCCGCCACAAAGCCTGGACCTCTGCTTACGTTACTGAGAGGAACAGAAGTCGCAGTTGATCTGTAGACTAGCGCCGCCGTGCTAGAATGATCCCCAGCCCAGTTGTCACGCAGCGGAAGCATGTATTACTGCGGTCAACTTCAGAGGTGCACTGTTCTCGGACGTGTCCTACCTCCAGACACTGCAGTGGTGCACCTGTGACACCTTGCCATCGCTTCCTCTTCTCAGGCTTGGTTGTGGTGCAAGCACTGCTCGGAAGCACCTTAAGGGTCGCGGTGGCAATAGCTTGGTCCGCACTGATGACCAACCTATGAGAAGCCGACCTGCTTCAGCTATTTTGCGGGCACTAGCCACAGGACAACTGACTAACACTGTGCCCTGTCCAGATCGGTCTCGACGAATTTCCCCCACCTTAACGGAGTTTACTGCGCATTCACCCTTTCGTGCTATTGCTACGGCAACTTCCTCCTTTTCAACGGAGTCGTCCAGGCCTAAAATGCGCAAATCTGCGCACTTCTCCGGCCTGGAAACTACCGCGACGTCTTCACTGACCACCTGTCGCAACTTTTCAGCCAGCAGGTTGGCTGTATCGCCACTAGTAGCCCTTGGCACTTCAAGGACTCGGGCCCCTGTTACGGCCTTTCTAAAGCGAATGGCCTGGATCCCGAGAAATTCCAAGTCCATCGCTTTTTTGGCGTCCCTAAGAATACCCGCGTAGGTGACCCCTCGTGCTGCCGCATCCGGTTGTATCTTTATTACTACAGCTGATGAGCGAGGAGGCCACAGCTTTGGTATCTTTTGCCGCTCCTTGGGACTTGCCGCTTTGTCTGCGGTACCAGTGCCAGATCTGCCAGGTCGGCGCCGGGTAACCAATGTCCATTCCTCCGAGGGATGTTCTGGTGTTGCCGATGGCGGGGCGCTTGAAACATCCTGGTTGGTGTTTCCTGGCGTTTTCTGCTTCTTTTTCCTTCGCAGTGTCACATTCGTCTCATGCACATTGGTCACAGATGGCCCACTTCCCGTTGCAGGAACTGGTGTCCCAGTCAGTCTGACGTCGCTAACCGTGGTTGGTTTTATGGAGGCTGCAGACGACTGAGTCGCTCGGTTATTTACGGCTAGCGGTGGACGCAAGCGCTTCTCGGGCAGTAACCTGTCTTTTAGTCCCTCGAACCTGGCATTTATCATCGTCCCCACTGCCTCCATTATGGACCGTTGCAGTATCTCCGGCTCATGCAATACAGAAGAGAGGGGAGTGGCTGATGTCGCGTGCCTACGCTGCGTCTCCCTTAGGTCAGCCTGTAATGTCGTCATTTGGCTGCGGAGTTCAGCCAACTCCGCTTTAAAACGCGAATTATCCGCAGCCAACTTTTTGGTCTCCTCTGACACCGAGGTTTGGCTCAGGGCCTCCACCGCACTGCTTATTTGCGTTGCCGCATCCTTGAGGGCCTTAACAAACGTGCCCTTCAGGTTGGACGATTTGGTAGCGACATGCGTTATTATTGATACCTGCTGGAGCACTCGCTCCCGCAAGTCGTCCGCAAGAACATTCATGTCCTTATCACTCTCACAGGTCTCTGAGAGGCAGATAGGTCCTAGATTAGCTTTACGCGAAGCTTCCACTACCTCTTGCTCAGCCTGAAGTTCTCTTGCTGCGCGTTCTGCAGCGATCAGGGCAGACTTGCCTTTGGTCCTTGTCGTACGTGACCTGCCTCTTTCAACGGGGACATCAGCGTCATTGATCTGAGTTGCGCTCGCCTTTTTCCGGCTTACGCCTTCAGACTCCAAATAGTCAGCCTGAATTTTGAGCTGGCTGCTCGTCGTCACTCGAGGTCCCGCTGACGTTAGGGTCCTCGCCTTCTTTTCTCGGGCGTTTCCGAACATCCCCGAAAAATTTCGAGGGTCTATCCTCAGATACCCAGTTCGACTCTCCAACAGACGCAGACCTTCTCAGGCCCGCGCGTCCTTCACCTACCAACTCACATAGCAAGTCTGATTCCATATTAGCGCTTTTGTCATTTTTGGTATTTGGTTTATTCAATGTTGCCATAATGATCCCACGAATATTAGGTAAAAAACAGTCCACCGAGCCAGTGACCGTGTAGCCCGGTAACCCTACATACACCTGGGGGTCGGGAGGTACCCAGGGTTGGCCGCTAATGACTGGTTTGACGCCCCAGCCGCTCTTTCGAGCCCACGCCGCGTACCGCAGCGCCGGAATCGGCGGATTTTTTAGTGAGGTTTACTCCTCGCGGTCCGACCGGTGAAGGTAAGACCCTCAGCTCTGCTGCAGGCCGCGAGACATGTCCACGACACCTGCAACGGGGTACCGAGATCGCCCGGTGTCGACAAAGCCGAGTGCGCTTGGCAAACTCACCGCACGAGTCAAACGTCCCCTTTCGGAGACTTCCTTCCATACATCACGCAAACAGCCTATTTACCCATTCCCCCCACATAACACCCACCTTTCATACATCTCGCTTTATTTCCTCCCCTGTTGCTTCCCTTGTTCCCTCTCACGAAAGAGGGATACTGGGAGCAATTAAGGCCCGCCTAGAAGGCTCTGCCTCGTAGGGCATTAAGCCCTTTGGCATCCCGGGGTCCTGAAAAGGATCACCAGATGCCCCCCCCCCTTGCCAGTTTTGGTCCACGCCAGTTTCCCGGTATCACCCATGTCTCGGTGACATTCCCCTATCCGCCACCTGGGGACGCGCCCGATAGGAGGTCTGGCAACTCCCACGGGGTTTTTAACTTCACCTACTGCAAGTGGCACGGAATCGCACTGAACTGGTGTTCCTATAATGCTACTAACAAACCTTACTCCACCAATATTATGCTATGGCGGGTTCTATTTTCAGTTTCTAAAAGTGACTTTCCTACAAAGGCAAATAATTAAGTAGATTAATAATAAAAAAGATTCTGACTGGGTGTGGCTTTTTTAATGTGAGAAGGTGGTAAATTATCGTTTCTCCGGATTTTGTCATTAGCGCTGCCCATGGACATTTGCAACACCAGTAAGGCTTCAGTTGAGTTACTAGCATTAAAAAAGTGGGCTCCGGGTATCACACTTGCAAGACGAAACGCAGAAGTATTACACGTCCAGTTCTGGGAGGGCGTGATAATTCCCCAGACGGGTCTGCCCATTCCTGCAATAGCGTAGATTGTTGCGTACGTGGCCTTACCACAGAAACTAGATCAGGCAAAATTGGGTATATTCTGCGAATGCCACTCATTCTCAACAACTTCATTTCAATTTCAATCACGGCTGGCTTTGCGATGACTATAAATAAGTGTCAGGGCGAAGGACAGCGACAGCTGGTGTTGACTAAAGATCTAACTATTTTTCTAACGGCTTATTGTACGTGGTGTGCTTGCGGGTCAGTAATGCGTATAGTAATCGTACCATAGACCTGAGAAGAACCAACGAAAGACACTGAATATAATTTGACAATAAAAACATGTTTAAAATAGATTAATGAACGCAGTCTACGAACGTCGCACTAGTCGTAACGCTAGCCGGACTTTTAATCCCATTAACTTGGATGCAGACAGCAAAGAAAGTTTGTCACTAACCGTTACCTGAAGGAAGGTTATACGGAGCACCAGGAGGGGGGGGGGGGGGCATTTCGCAGGCACTACGGTGCACTAATAAAATGTGAATTCCTGACGGGCAGCGTGGACGCAGACATTCTGACTGTGACTGTGACTAGTTTTGATTGAACGACTGAGTGAATTTTGTGTGTATGTGTGTGTGAATTTTATATTTGAAACCAGCTTTGCAAGATTCGCGAATTACGTCAGCGAGTATGTTTGCGGGTCTTTAAATTTTAAATTTATTATAATACAAATTACTAAATTGAAAGGAGTAGTTATAGTAACAACTTTTATCACAAGGTTGTAGAATTTTTTATTGTTGTTAAAGTTTTTATTTTAGAAAGGAATAGAGAATTGTATATCTTTAAATAGTGTAAAGTTTACTTTTCTCAAAATTAATAACTCTGTGATAATAATAGTATTCACAATTACAAGAATAAAGACGGTCATGGGTCACCATACTTAAGTTTGTTTATCAATATATGATTTATAAGGAAAATATGAGATAAAGTTGTAGTCTTTGTCATCTGTTAGTATATAATAATTGACTGAACAAGTCAGGCATCTCTGTGTTTATTCTAATAAGTTGCACAATGGATATAAAAAAGAAAAATAAGTTTTGTTTAAAAAGGCAAGTACCTTATGTTTCATATTGTCCGTTCTCCCTTTTTTGTGTGAAGTTGAAGTTTAAAAATTTTTTCAAATTGCGTAAAATTGATATTTATAATTCGACAAAGTTTAATTTTATTATTATAAAAAAAATAATTTATTTGTAGATTCATACCCAATAGTTGTTGATACTAAAATATATAGAACCCATGATGAAGGTCGACCTTATTAAATTTTAAATAAAAACCTGGCCAAAAGTCGAAAATGAATCATTCGTTAACATTGTATTACTCAATGGTAGTGAACTTGTCACGTCCAAGGAAAGTCATATGTTAATCTTTTTAAAAAATTAAAGTAAAGAGTATACTTTTCATGATTTCAGTTTTAATTTATTTCAATGCTTTACTTACTACTTAATTACTTTACTATTTACTATTTACTTTTATTATTTTTTAATTTGGGTGACCCGCGGATAGTTGTTTCGGATCGTGGTGTTTGTCGACGAGAAAATTAAGTTTGTAAAACGTCCTTATAACACATAATGTTATGCTATGGTAAGAGCATTATTAAAAAAAAACGAATACTTAATAACGAAAAAAACGAATTTCAAACACAAAGCAAATGATATGTCAACGAACCGGTAAATGTTGAATAGGCCATAGTTATTTCTCAACGACTATTTTATCACATGACTTTGATAGATAAGTTTTATTTATTTAAATGACTTCCGCCCAAAAGTGATTTAATGATAAATGTTTATTATTGTTTCAACTGTAGCAAATACTAATAAGTTTAGAATTATTGTTTTTTTTATGTGAATATGTGGTAAACAAGTAACGTAATAACCATCGCCCATTAATATTTGCAACACCCGTGGGGTTGCAGAAGCGTTGCCACCTTTTAATAAAGTGGGCTTCCTGTTACCTCACTCACCAGACAAAACGCAGAAGTATAACGCTTCCACTTCACGCCGGTCTCCTGTGAGTTCGTGGAACTTGTTAATTGTATATACTACTGCTTTACTATCATTGTATATGTTATAAATACGTCGTAATATTATTGTATACGTATTTTGACTTTGTGCAAGGCATTAGAAGTTTTAAATTAAGTTGAAATTTAAAATATTGTAGAAAAATGGAAGAAAAACGCTAGATGACTGCTTAAAAACGTAATAAAAAACAAAGCAGGTAGATACAATACGTTGAGATTTTCGTCGCTATGGAGATAAGCCATTTAGCTTAGTAGTCAAAGAGAGCGTTGGGCGCCTATCCTGGAGGAGGAAGGTTTAAATTCTCGCAGCAGCGAAAAACTTTTCGATCAGTTTTCTACAAATTTTTAAATTTCATCTTAAGTGCTGAGAATAGCACTACAAAAATTAATAACCTTAAAAGTTTAAGTGCGTTAAGGTAGTTTTGATAAGTAAGATAGCAAAGGCTCTTCAAAAGAGGTCATGAGTTCGATTGTCACACGGTATAAGTATTTGTGTGACCAAAAATTGTTCAGGATCTGGGTGTATGTTCCCAGGGATGGTTGACAACAGGCAGGTCATAAAATAATAAGTAATATCATTACTAAATTGCCCATAAGAGAATAAGGGCAGAAGAAATTCTAAAAATTCATTATCATTTCTAAAAATGTATCCAATTAAGTAATTCATGAATGGGTAAATGGTAACAATTTAATGAAGTACTTATTGGATTGTAGTTTAACGTTTTGATACATGGCGACGCCAGCTTCTGTTTTGATTTATAGAAGATGGCATTTTATTTTGGGAACGAAAGTAGAACAGATAGATTGAACCGAAACAGATCGATTAATTATTTACTACATATTTTAATTTTTTACTACACAATGTAAATTGACATCAATGGTATTAACAAGGTTTATTCACTTATCATTTGGAAGTTATTCTGACGTTTCTTTTTCAGAATACCATGTTTGTTTAAAAAATATAAGTTGTTCTTATTATTGACGATGGTTTTTGATCACGCAAGGAACATTTATGGGCAACCGGTTCGGCCAAATATAGTTCTTATAATCGCTGATGACATGGTGAGATCCTTTTTTTTCCCCGTTGTTTGGTAGTGAAACTTAGCCCATGCTAATATATATTTAAATCATATGAAGTTTTTTCTTTATTTTAATCAAATAAATCCCACAGTTGATTTAAATTGTGTGTTACTTCGTTAACTTTCAACTTTATTAACGCAAAATCTTATAACGTTTTATTAGAATTAAATTTCTTGTATTTAATTATTAAGTATCAATAAAAATATTCGATATTGAATAAATGGTTTCGATTTTTTTAGGGCTGGGATGATGTCAGTTTCCATGGTTCAGATCAGATCTTGACACCGAATATTGATATGTTAGCTTACACGGGGGTTGCGCTTGAACGTTACTACAGCCATTGTATCTGCACTCCTACGCGGTCTGCCTTGCTTACTGGAAAATATTCTTATGTTACAGGTTTTACGAAATTATTTATTAATTATAATGTAATATGTGACGCTTTACGAATGTCACAAAGAAATTTATTGATTTTAAAATGTAATCATACAAATAAAGTAGCTATTCCCTGGAACGAAAATAAATTGACGTATTGTATATGATGGCCACATTCACGAGGAATCCTATAGGCCATCTAGCATTACGTTTAAGTTCTTGTTTAATAATTTCTCAAAAATAGCAGTTAATTTTTGAGGATATAATTTCTTATAAGGGTATCCTTTGCAGTCACAATAAATAATGCGTAGGGATAGACATTCAAGTATATTGAAATAAATTTAAGAGGATGCTGTTTTCATTATGGCTAATTGTATATTGCCTTATCTAGATCCGGGTGCGACGAAAACAAGTACAAAACTAACGCTTAAAATATTGTATATACTGAAATAATATGAGTCTGCTCTTTGTGATTTATTTAAGCTGTAAGCGGGTAAAATTGCGTCGCACAGCTTACGCAGTAATACATTTGTTCTTAAAAGATATGTGTCCTATAGGTATGCAAGGATATCCTCTTACGAATAGTGAAGATAGGGGCTTACCAGTAACGGAAAAGATTATGCCGCAATACCTAAAAGATCTAGGCTATGCCACACATCTCGTTGGGAAATGGCATGTGGGGCAGTCACGGACCGCTTTTCTACCAACTATGCGCGGATTTGATACTCACTATGGACATAGAGGTGGTTTCATAGATTACTACGAATATACTCTTCAAGAGGCGGTATGTATCTTTTTAAAATAATAATATACGTGGGTTTGCTGTTTAAATAATATATCCTGCATACCGTCGATAGGTATGACCTATCTCGCACTTAATTCTATTAATGATGTTTATCTTAAATAAATACGGTTAATGGAAATAAGGATAATAGGACATAAATAAGGTAAAGTTTATCGATGCGTATTTTCGTTATTCAGGAACAATAATTGTCATTAGAGTTTATGAAGAATAATTATAACCCCAACAAAAAAAAAAGGATGTAGGTATTAACGTTTTTGTATACATTCATCACGCCGCTTTACATGTTGCTACTGGACATTACTCCCACCATGATATTTTATTTAATCGATTTCTTTGTCAATATATGATACTTCAGTGATCTTTTAAATATGTTCATTGATTTTTTGTTTCTAATATCTTCAGGTAATTTGTTGTATACTTGAGGGTCCTCATACATTTTTTGTCGAAATTTGTTCGTGTTGTCAATAGTTTTATACTGCTATGCCGCATAAGTTTCACTTTTTGTAGGTGTGATGTGATGTTCATTGTGTGATGTTTATTTAAAATTTTTCGTACCCATATCCAATTTTGGTACCCGTATTTATGTTTGTGATATGTTCATTACATGATTTGCTTGTAAAGCTTATCCGTAAGAAAGACGAAATTCAATAATGTTTAAAAGTTTTTTCTGGGCATTTTGTACAATTTCTAGATTAGTTCTGGCAGCTGCTGCAGTTTCCCATATTTCAACTAAATAATTTTGAGGTTTTACAACAGAATTGTAGATTGTGCAACTTATAGAAATCGGGATACAACGAACAATAATATCCTTTATCATACCGATCACTTATATAAGCTTTGATTTGATTATATGAATGTGCGATAATCCAGTTAGTTGATTTATACGAGTGTAATACTCGTATCATATCGATTATAAGCCGTGAGTAGTTTTTTGCTCTAATTTGGTAATGTTTATCCGATTAATAAACAACGGATTATAATCGCCAAAGTATTGTTTTTTTTAATCTTCATATAATTAGATTATAGTGTGATCAGTGATGGTGTCATCAGCGTATGAAGTAATTTCCCTACTCTAGCATATTTAGAGGATATTATTTTTATATTTTAGAAAGAGCAGTAGCCTCAAGATAGAAAATGCAGAGGTAATTGAAATTTCTATCGAAGACATAGCGTTCCTTATAGAAGCGATATATAATATATATCGCTTCTATGAAGAACGCTATACTATTATATATTTTTTTGGGTTTAGTATTTGCTACCCAAATATATAATGATCTTATCATAATTAATATAGTTAAAAGTAATATATCTATTTCCAAAAGTTGAGACAAAATACTATCAGTTTTAATAGTGAACTCTTAGTTGATTAACTTTATAAATGTTTGATGTATTTATTATTTTATCTTAGTAGGTAATTTTGGATTTCGCAGGATGAGACAGGTGAGGAGGTGTCTGGATTAGGCTTATTTAGAAACATGAGTGCTGCGTGGGAAGATGAAGGTTATGTAACTGATCTTTACACAAAGGAAGCTAAAGCAAGTGAGATTATAAAGATTTTCTATATTTCCGCCCCGGATTTGCACGGGTTTAATGTATTATACGTCATATAAACCTTCCTCTTGATTCACTCTATCTAGTAAAGAAAACCGCATCAACATCAGTGACGTAGTTTTAAAGATCTAACCATACATACGGACAGACAGACAGCGGGACGACTTTGTTTTATACTATATAGTGATTAACGTTTTTTTTATGTGAGAAAGTGGCAAACGAGCGGATGGTTCTCCTAATGTTAAGTAATAACCGCCGAACACGGACATTTGCAACACCCGTAGGGTTGCGTAGCCACATTTTGATAAAGTGGATCCTGGCTACATTACTTACCAGACGAAACGCAGAAGTATAACACTTCCGTGTTTCTTTGCGTGGCCCTATCAGTGTACCTACCCAGTGTAAAATATAAATTAAAGTTTAAATGAAGTAAACTAATATAAATTAAAGAAAAGTAATTTACCACTGTAAATTTGTAAATTTAGAAAGAAAGAAAGAAAATACATTTATTTACCAAAAAAAAGACGCACACAATAAAAGAGAAAGAAAAACTAAAATTAACAAAAAATAAAAGAAAATAAAAAAATACTTATAAATAATTCAGTAAAGCGAATACATAATTAAAATATAAACAAATGAAAAAGACTTTAACAAACCATAAATAGCGTGCAAAGGCCCTATTCCGGTAAATTAGGTTAGCAGCTCAGCATTATGCTATGCCGGAAGTCAAGGCCCCAACACAGCGCTGATTTAAGAAAATTAATACCAATAACTCCCCATATTTTAATGGAAATTTGTTTTGTCGTCGAATTTAGTAAGGATAGTGTCGGACTTGTTAAGCACAAACAAGGTAAATATTGAAAATATTCATTGAAAACGTTGTCTGTAACGTTTACCTTGTAAGTGCTTTGTCACAATAATTATCATTTGTTTTTAATTATCATTATCAAATGTATCAATAACGTTTGTAGTAATAACATCACACGACGAATTAGCACCATTGTTTTTGACCGTTGCTCATAATGCCCCGCACTCGGGAAATGCCGCGGCTGTACTACAAGCTCCAGCAGAATATGTCCGATCTATGCGTCATATCGAATCGCCACAGAGGCGAATTTTTGCAGGCAAGTATATTTGGAAATTAGCTACACACTTTTACTTAAAGTCGATAGGATAGTTGCTTAAATAAGATGTAATTAACTATGATATCGTTCGTGCAACAATGACAGGCACTTTTGTCGTGGTGGTAGATTTAAGTACAGTTTTACAACTTACTGACCTATTACTATAAACCTTTAAGTAATAATATTTCAATTAATTTCAGCAATGGTAAAAAAACTAGATGAAAGTGTAGGGGAAATTGTCAATGCTCTATTAGATAAAGGAATTCTAAATAACACTATCATAGCATTCATATCGGACAATGGTGGAATGACTACAGGCGACTCGATGAACTATGCATCTAATTGGCCTTTGCGGGGCATTAAGATGACTCCATTTGAAGGTGGCGTTAGAGTTAATGGACTAATATGGACTCAAAACTTGACCAATTTTAATCATTCATGGAAAGGATATATGCATGTTACGGATTGGTTGCCAACATTGTTAAAAGCTGCTGGTGGGAAAAAACCTTTGCATTTGGATGGTTTCGATCTTTGGGAAAATATAATGAGAAATAAAAAATCAAAGAGAAACAGAGTGTTCGAGATTGATGATATAGCGGGTTACTATTCTATTATTGATGGTGATTATAAATTAATCGTGGGAGATGTAACTTTTAATTATAGTAATCATCAAGGAGGCAATCTTAGAGGGATCATAGGAAGAAACCCGCCTTATCTTGATTCTTTACAAAACAGTATTGTTTACAAGGTTCTTAGAAGGATAGATAAACCTTTCAACTTTAAAAAAATGGAAATAAGAGACGAAATAAAGGTCATCTGCAATAAAGTAAAAAGTAAAGAAAATGATTTATGCTACCCACAAAATAGTAAGTAATTAATTAATTAAATTAATCTATACTTATATTATTCTACTTATACTATCTATAAAATGTATAATAGTACAGGTAGCAAAACGTGCACAGCGATGAAAGAAACCTGCATAGGTTTTAAATACATATATACCTTTATTTATTAATATATAAATAAAGGTATATATATATATATATATATACCTTTATTTATATAATAATAAATAATAATTTACTTACCTATATATTTTGAAGTCTGTCAATCCGCAGTAGGGTCATGCGGATTGACAGACTACTTTACTTGTAAATTTGGTGGTTGTTGGGAAAATGTTACCTGTTATTTGGCGTTTAAAATATGTTTTGTTTGAGTTTTTTTAAAGTTGAGTTACACTCAATGTCTTTTGCACTAATAGAGATAAGTTAGGTAAGTCCAACTGCTCAAGGCTGAGGCATACTAGCTTTTTTACATATCAAAGTTAAATTATAATTTTTTACATATCAAAATTATTCCTCATTAAATTTGTAGGTTTACACTATTTATCCTGTTAATTGTAAATTTATAGTAAATTCCCGAAAACATCAGATTTTTAGATCATTTAAATCTATGGACAGAACCAAACATCCGTCCAAACCCATCCGAATGCCAATTAGATCTAGACATAGACAACCGTATCTACAAGTTGAGATATTTACACCGCGTTTATCTCGGGCCACTAGCATATTCAAGGGTTCTTATAAAAATATAAAGGTCCTCTGGAAGTACATAATCTACGTTATGTTATTATTAATGACATATAAATTCAGTTACTTTTAACATGTTTGCTTTTGAACATCCGATAAAAGTAATAATTAGAATTTGGTATATATATTTTTAATTAAGGGTAGGGAAATAACCACAGCTGCTAAGCGTGCATGAAGGGAAAGTTATTTTCATGGAGAATAATCTTGTTTTGGGTATGAAATACTTCCATGTGCAATTTGTTTATATATCATGTCTCTTAAAGATTGCGATAATCTTATTTTGAATACGTAACATTGCAAAAGCAAGATAAAAACGAATGAAAGAAGATAACCATAGTTGAATAACTTTAGGCGATTATTATCGTTATCCTAGGATATCCTAGTCACTCAAAAAATAAAAGGTAATTGATATATATATAAAATTAATTATTTCAGATTATTGGTGTTTGTTCAACATAAAAGAAGATCCATGTGAAGTTCACGATGTCTCTGCCAAAAATCCTCGTATTGTTCACAATATGATGACGCGTCTTCGCAAAGAATTGGAAAGAGTTAAATCAAGAAATAAAACTATATATAGAGATCCGAGATCTTTCCCACGTTTACATAACTATTCATGGGATATTTGGGCAGATAACATAGCGATGGCATAATTCATAACTGTAAATTCCGACTGATAGAGACATAGGATCGAAAATTATGGCACTGCATGATTTTTTTCTGGTTAATGTCAAATCCTATTTAGGTTTTTTATAGGCATCAAAACCCAGATCAGTGAAGTACATTATTTTTAGTTTATACTTATTTAAGTTTGTTTTGATAACTCATAAGCTTAAATTTCGATTTATATCAGTGGCATGTCCACGGAGTCAAAAGTCTAAAAATGCGTTAGTTATCAAATGTTAAAATATCACAATGTGAGAGAAGGTTTTTATTTCAAAGAGTAATATAATTTAACAGTTAAAAAATATGAAAAAGGAAATATTGTTTCAGTTTCATCATTATCGTATTACAAAGTTGATGTTTAAATTCCTGTTAAATGTACTTCGTCAATGGTAAAATTATAACTTTGATGGAAAACATTTTGTTATTAGTAAGATAATTATGTCACAGCAAAATGATTTTTTTGCATTTAAATGTAAAATTATAAGCTGGGAGTTATAAATTTAAGTTAAGGCTACGGTTAAAAATTATGGACACGAGTATAATTAAAGACCTGGAAAAAACGCTTGTTAAGAAGTCGTTGTCTTGAATGCTTCTTACATTTGTGTATAAAATGTTTGTATTTCATGAAATAAGAGTATTTGTTTTATTTCTTAATTAATTCCAGCTGTTGTAGAAATTTTTAATTATAACATTATGAGATTATACGTCATTTTTCTTATCATTCAAAAACCTTTTTTTAGGTTGTTGATAGTCACTGAGCATAAAACTCAACGGAATAAAACGTCGTTTAATTATTTGATATAGTTTATAATGCCTTAATGATCTTCAGTATTAGTGGGTGTATAACCACTGATTGTTGATAAACAAATCTCATTTGAAATTTCGAGTCTAATTCGCATTCATTCCTCGCAAAAATATCTTTGTAGAATAATTATTAGCATTTCACTTCGCCTTAATTTACGAATATTATTATCTCTTTCATGTTTCAGTGTAAAGAACACTTCACTTGGATGTTTTGAAAGGCGCTGCAGTTGTATTTAACTAAATGGATATCGATTTCGATAAAACGTTTAAAGTTATGATATTGGCTATGAGAGCAAATAGATCTCATCCATACATTGGGCGAGATAAGAATTGGGCTTTGCAATTTTTTTGTATGCATGGGTTTTTCTTTATTATTTGCTGTGGTTTAGTTTATTGCATAATTTGTAACGACCTACGTAACAAGGATTTTACTCAAGCTTGCTCTAACGGCATTTTATGTGTTGTGTTCTGCGTGGTGACATTCTATTACTGCATCATGTTGTGGTATCAAAGCCTTTTAAGAGATATGATAGAAATAATGAAGAAAGATTTTCGGTCAGTTTACGACCTGCCTTTTGATGAACAGAAAATTGTCTTAAAATACGCGCAAATGGGTAAGGGAGTTGTAACCCTTTGGTTACGCATATCCATTTTTACGGCGACATTGTTCCCATTAAAAGCCATCATGTGTATGATTTATTATCAAATTGTGGGTAAATTTCAATTCGTTCACCTTTACGACTTGACTTATCCACAAGTAATTGAGGACGTAAAAAATGAGCCGGGACCGTACGTCGTGTTGTACCTTATATTTCTTTATTATGATATTTATGCAATGTTCATGTACATAGGCTTTGCGCCTCTCGGACCTATATTTATGCTGCACGCATGTGGTCAATTAGAAATCATAAAAAAAAGAGTCTTAGACATTTTTGCAGACAAAAACTTTGACTCCGATAATATAATGCGTGATCTAAAAGACATTGTAATATATTTACAAAAAACCTACAGGTAAGGTTGATTTTGATTTAGTTGCTACAAATATTTTGTACATATCATCACACATTATTATTTGTTCGACAGTTTCATAGAAAGTATCAAGGAAAGTTTTAAAGTTTTATACGAATTGACTTTGAAGGCTACAACAATAATCCTACCGATAACATTTTACATGGTCATCCAGGTATTTTCTAGCTTGTCTCGTTTTTATTATTTTTAGATCAGTTACAGTATTATTATTATTTTTTTCAGTCATTCGATAATAGTCAGACTAGTTTAGAGTTTGTTACAATAATAGTTGGAGCTATGACACTTAGCAGTATCCCTTGCTATTATAGTGATTTCCTCATGGAAACGGTAAGTTTTTTGGATTGTTGAGGCTAATTAGGTAGATCTATAGGCATTTTTTCAATACTTTTAAATAATTTTTTTTTTCACAAAATGATTCTCAAATGAAAATTAATATTTGATTAGCTCCCTGCAAAATTTGATTAGCGTTTGCATAATTATTAAGAATTTAGTCCATAGGCATAACATTAAGATCTTTAAACAGCAGTTCCTTTTTATTTCGGTACGTTTCACAATCCATCAGCATATTATGCATATCTCGAATTTATTGTATACCTCACAATAGGGTGAAGCAGTTTTTCTCATCTTTCTCATGTAGGATCGTCGAATGTTGCACATTACACTGAGTTCTGCAGAATGACCATCGAAGTACCTAAGCGCGTTTATACATTCAATTAAAATATTTAAGAGGCATATCGAATTTGCTCCTAGCAGAACTATAAAAAATAAAATAATATAGGCTCCGGAGTAGAAAGATATAAAACGTATGCTTTTGCATTAAAGCCTTACATTTGCTTAAAGTCAATTTTAAAAAAAGTCTGGCTCAAGGCATAATCAGCCCGTTATTTTCGAAGATGACATATGGAAATGTAAATGGACTTCTAGTTACCATAAATGAAACTAGACATTGTCCGGATATAACCAAAGAATATGTTTCTAGCAAAATAGAGTACGTCACGGTATATACGTCTAATGCGTCTGTACCAAATTAACAATTTCATTGGTGCACCGGGGATCGAACTCAGGTTGCTCGAGTATATTGAATTAAAGGCGAGCGCCCGGACACTGAGCTATCACGGCTCTAACCTAATAAAAAACCTAAGCACTATGACATTTTTCTTATGGGGATTCGTCAAATCTAGAGCTTATTCAATATCTTGACGTTTAAATAGTAGTTGAGAAATGGCGGCCATTTCAGAGTGTACAAAGAAAGCAATCATACGCCATTTTGCGGTTAAATTACACTAGTGCCGTGAGCATGATCAATTGCATTTAGATGAAAATATAATAATAATTTTATTAATAGACTGGTGTCTCTTTTTCATGTTGGTTTTTTTTTAGGTTTCTAGTCAATCACAATACTGGGCAACTAGGTCAACGGGTATTTGCTTTTATTTTGAATAAATAAATCAAGAAAATCTCATGTTCGTCGAATTTTATCACAAATAATAGAACGTTTGTATTTGTGTTATCGGTATTGCCTTGGACTAATAACGAGCACTGACATAATATTTCGTTCAACATAATGCAGTAGCAGTAGTTTAGGAAGAGATTTATGATTAATATTTTAGATTTCAAATCCAATCAATGACTTGCTGCTTTTGGAATTCCCAATGATAATTCACGTTCTCAGATTTGTGTTTTCAAATACGAAAAGGTCGTCAAAGTTCTTATGAAGTTGTATATCTCGTTGGCGTACAGTACCCGTGGCAGTTTTTTTGATGTTTTATTATGCTGTATGGGTTTGAATTTGATTACATACAGGGCGAAAACTTGCGGCTGGCCATTTATTCGTGCGGCTGGGAGAAGTACTGGGACAGACGAACGCGTTCGGTGCTACTGCTGGTATTAGCGCGGGCCGCTCGTCCCGTTGCAGTCCGGACTATGTTCAGAACTGTCTGTCTCGACGCACTCACAGACGTGAGGATTTGTTTGTTTGTTTTTAACCTTAATTTTTCTTTATAAAAAAATGTTCCAAGTGTTAAATGTTTCAATTACCTCTTTAATAATTATCGTTACAAGCCCCAATCGTTTGTAGTAATTTAATATTTTAATAAGATAGTTAATTTTAATAATGGAGTGACTACCTGCGCAAATGTGCGGGAAGTCGATGGATGCAGGTGGCTCAGGATCGTACTTCGTGGCAGTCTATGGGGGAGGCCTATGTTCAGCAGTGGACTCAAACAGGCTGAAATGATGATGATGATGATGAATAAGATGATAAAATTTATCAGCTATAGGTACTGTTACTAAATTTACTAGCTAAAGGTAAAGTGAACGCTATAATGTCAAATAAACAAATATAAAGAAAAACTTTATTACAGTAACGGATAAAATATTCCTCATTTATATACACTTATATTCTTGATGTTTAATTTTCAGATCTATCAACAGTCTTACGCAATATTTAATTTGCTAAATGCTGTATGGAATTAACAAATCATAAACACCAGCATATATGCATTTGAATTAATATTGAATCAATAGGAATTTATCATCAATTGTGTTGCATTAATAAACTTTGTTAACGGATTATTTTGTATTTATTTTGTTTCGATACATCGTGCAATTACGGCACCTATTACGGCGCCACTGGTTGCTTAATTAAATAAAAGACATGCAATACTTGGTCAGTCGACCACTTACAGGATAAAAAAAGAAAAAAAAATAGTTAATGGAATATGAATACGGTTTCTAGGATTTTTGTTTATGAGTTGAAAACAAAATATTTTAAACAAGCAATTCGACGAAAGATTTTCAAGTACATTCTAAATTTAGGTGCTAGAGAAATCAATAGTTGGCTGCGCCTACTTGACAACCAGAGATTGACCTGTTTCGGAATGACAAATCGCATCGCAGTTTTAAGTGGAGTTAACTCGATCGTTGATTTTGATGAGGAACATATTTTAGTTTTTCAATTATTATTTTAAGAAACTAAGAATTGGTTTAAATTAAAAGCTTTAGTGTAAAGGCGAATATAATAATTATATCGTCACAATAAGTCTTAAATTTCAAAGATATTTTATATATATTATTTTATTCTACCTCATACCTATATATCATATTTATGTTTATAAAATCTATGTTATATAGTATACTGTTTATAATTTTAATCATCACATTAAGCACCTTACGATCGTGGCATTGACACCGTTGGCTATAATCAAGTTTATTGTCACATCATTATCAATTGAATGTTTTACAAGGAATATGTCATGACTACAGATAAAAACGTTTGTTCACAATGTCAAGACAAATTAATTACTTCACAATATGCGTTAAACTTGTATTACTTATTTGCAGTCTATATTCTTACCACGGGTCCAATCTCGAAATGAAAGATAAAATGAGCCAAAAATGTACATACATGTACCTTTGTTTTGTCGTTTTAAATTGAACGATATTTGTATCACAAAAATTTTAAGAGACAAATTGTTCTACAATGATTGTATATTTTTGAGATAGAACGAAGAGAGCGAAGCGTTTACGCATAATGAAATTTCGACAATCAATCCCCATGAACACGGACACGAATTCAATAGAAAATATTTATTATTCAATAAAAATAATTTTTAATAAATCTTAATTGTTAAATGTTTTCAACACTACATTTCTAAGTTTTCATTCCAATATCTAACAATAGGTTACTCATGTCTTTCAGAATAAAGAGAATTAATTTAAATATATCGGGTTAGAATTTCATTATCATAATATTGTTTTAAATAGTGAATAAATTTAATTTTTTTTCAGTTTGATTCCAAATATTGAAGCTATGAACTTTAAATTAACGTTTATTACATTTTAGTTTAGCATTTTTTTATTGAGTTTACATTTTGCTGATTACAGAACAAGAAGTTAGGTGAAATCACCCTTTTCGGTCAACTGGTCACGACTGATTAGACGCAATCATGTCAATCCGCAACCAAATTTTGCTACACAACAGCGGCAGCTTTTGCGTGAACCTTCACGTCCAATAAGTATACTTTCATGTTTCATCTGGTTAGTCAGCATGTCCTCAGGTGTTTTAGATGCGATGGGCGACGGTAAGGTTCTTCGGAAGAGCCGAGAATCATCCTAACCTTATCTTCTGGGTAAATGCAGCAAATTCCTGATCCAAAGTAGACGTGCGCCGTGAGTGCGATGGTTTGGGCCTAATTTTTGAAAAAGCAATTTGCGAAATTTTCCAATTAAGTGGTCAAACTCTACTATTCCGTTTAATGGAAGTTAAAGAGATAAGAGAACTGGGTATTATTGCATGCAAGTGTGGGTAAAATGCATTGTTTGAGGCTGCCCTAAGAAAAGCGGATCACTGCAATCTTTTCTGAGTTGAGTTCGATTTTCTAATTTGTTAAATCAGTTTCCAAGGAGATCAGTGGTGCTTCTGAGATGGTCACAGCTTGCAAATTTGTCTGTAGAAAATGATTCAATGTCATCCACGAAGTGAAAGACCAATGAGTGGCGCCTTAGAGAAGTCATTCGTATATAGCGTGAAGAGTAAAGGTGAGAGGCGTAAACCTTAAAGAAAACTCCAACTGATGGCGAAAGTAGTGGTTCGACGACAGGGCTCCGATGGTGTGACCAATCTACCCGGCACTTTGAGTGTGCATACCCGCGCGTAGGATTGCCAACCATACTTAATACTATAGTATTCTACTTTATTTTTGGTAAATATACTTTATACTTTTACATAAAAATAAAGTATGTGTAAATACTTTATTTCCAATCTTTATTGTGATGCGTAAATTAAAACACTTATATGAATAATTACTGAATTATTATCGATACTTCTAAATTGAAACAGAAAGCATGATTAAATTAAACTTAAACAAGAATACACTTTAATTATTGAATCGTCCGAGGCGACAGTGACATCTGTCTTTGACGTTTGTCACTGACACCGACGTTAACATTCACCGTTACTATTTACCGGCGAAAATATTTGAAATAATGTGACTTATTCTTGTTTCATTGTTTTTATTTGAAGAACTGAAGAAGTTAGATTAAATATTAATATGAATGATTTATATTCTAAGTCAATAATACGTGAAGATATACATAGAAATTTTACTAATGGTAATAAGAAATTTGCAGAGAAAAATACTGTTGACAAATTGCAGTATGTATTGAAAAATGCATCTGATAGCTTACCATCTATATAAAAAACTGTTTCTTATTTACTCTCTATTCCGGCGACATCAGCTTTCACTGAAAGAGGTTTTCAGTAATTATGAGAAGAGAGGAACAGAACATTGATAAATTTAATAAAAAATTAGTTGCTTGTTTATTTAAATTTAAGTTGGGAATGTAATAATGAAAAAAAAAAAACTGTTGAGGTGTGCTAGAAGCACGGAAAAATATGCCTTCAAGAAAAAAAATTAATGAATAAATATTTTTTTTAAATACTTTTTTTTATTCCCAATACTTTATTCCCTAATTGAAACACCGGATACTTTATTTTTCTCAAAAAAAGTTGGCAACCCTACCTGCGCGGGTTGGGTTAAGACTTTTGCCTCCATAATCACCGGGAAGAAGGCCGCGGAGCGAGAAAGGGAGGCAACTGCCACCCTGGAAATCCGCCGCCGGAGACCAGGGCGCAGGAGGATGGCCTACGCGCGCAACCTTCCCCCCTGATAGCGAGCCCTGGGGCGGCAGATGTGGGATTAACTGCTCCCCGTGGAGGGATCGAGGGGTTGCCGTGTCCATTGCACCGATACGGCACCATTTGGCTGGACCGGGTGTCTAAAGACCCGGAGAGAGGAGGCCTTAGAAGGCCACATTCGCGCCGGGGTTCGCGGAAGATTGCGTTTTCGTGTTCCCGTGTCCCCGGCAAAAGCGACAGCGCAGGTGCAACGTGGGTTTTTTAGTGGGTACCCCCGTATTCCTGGGGACTCCCACATACCCTCGCTGTTTACCCACAAGGTGGCGGGGGATCCATAAAGGATTTTTCCCACGTAAAAAAAACAAAAAAAAAAGACTTGCCCCCGTTACTCGGTCGGAAGTCAAATTGTTCTATTGAGATAAGATTGCACGATTGAGATAAGTTGGAATACACATGTCATATAGCCCTTCAGCATATTAATATATGTAATAATTAATGTTCGACGACGTATGTCAGTCAGATTGTCAATCGCTCCGATTTAAATATTCCAAAAAATAGTTTTAAATTGTTTACTTGATGTGAGAGTGATCTATATCAGTGTATGAAGTAAAATACTACCGGAGGACTGTTTAATATTAGCGGATATTGAACATTTCAAGCTTTAAAGCTCAAAAACCGTGAAGTGAAAAAGTGATTGTTATCAACCTACCGTCCTTAGAATATAATTCTGGTTTCCTGTAAAAACCTAATAGCAATTCTTTCACAGTAAAAGTTATATTGAGCGCCTAACTATATTATTATAGCAATTGATAATATCTTGAGGGTTAAATCGCATTATTTCAAAAGGATTATAAGTTGATACGGTTCTAAGTAAGGAGCACCAAAGTGAACTTCCAAGACTAAAGCCATAACCCATTGCTAAGCGCTCATATTATAATTAATGATGTCGAATAAAGGTGAAGCATCTTGGGGATATTGTACTAATAAAAGCAGTAGTGAAAACTTTATAACCTGCCTAAAGTGTGGAAAATTTTACCATCTTAAATGCCTATTACTACCAGATAATGCAAAAGATCGCAGTGCGTTCGCTGAATGGCAGTGTATGACCTGCAAAAACAAAGCACCTAGAAGTAATAAGAATGACAATACACCATTACGCAACATAAATTGTTCTAGAGGGAGTAAAAAACAGGCGGCTAATTCCCCTCCTGAAGCAAATCCCGCTCCGTTAATTACCCATAACGACATTCGAAATATTGTACAGGAAGTTATGCAGGTTCAACTAAATGAAATGTTTTTGAAATTAAATAATAATTTGGTTAATACTATTGGCAAGGAACTTAAGCCTTTAAAAGAAGAATTACAAGAAATGAAGAACTCAGTGATGTTTTTAAATAGCCAATATGAGGATCTTGTGAAAGACTACCAGAATTCAAAAGTGATGGTCAAGGAAATTAAATCTGAAAATATATCTCTGTTAGCATCTGTGACTGAGCTTAAGTCGCGGATTAATTATTTGGAACAATCCGTACGGTCTAACAATATTGAAATCCAGTGCCAGAGAACAAACAAGAAAATGTTGTTAATATCGTGAAAGAAATAGGGAAGGTTATTTCGTGCGTTTTAAATGATAATGACATACTGCACTGCACTCGAGTAGCCAAGTCAAACCGGGATAAGCTGAGACCGCGTTCAATCATTGTTCAAGTCGCATCTCCGAGGCTTCGTGATCACTTTATTGCGGCAAACATAAAATTTAATAAGGTAAATCCTCATAATAAACTGAACAGTGCACATATAGGCCTTAAATATAGTCCATCCACCTGCAAATAAG